AGATATACAAAAATCTAATTATTTGAAAATATGTGGTATAATTTAATTGAGATAATGAAAAGTAAATCTAATTTAAATAGGATTAAAAAAATCTAAACATAATTTAAATACGATTAAGAAAATTTAATTATTTGGATTTATATGAAATAATTAATTCAATATCAAATAATATAAGAAATAATTATGAGAATAAAATAGATAAATATTTGATAGATTTTTCTATAAGTAGTTTTGTTGACATTTTCAATTTTATATTATCACTTCATGGAAGTGACTTAATTTTGTCTTCTATGTTTTCGTGTTTGATTTGTGGTAAAAATAGTTCAAATACAAATATGGGAATAAATTTATCAACATTTAAAAAAATAAATATTTAAGTTAAAATAAAAAGGTACGCCTAATTTAAATATGAATAGCAAATAATTTGATAAGATGTGATAAATTTAATTCTAAATCAAATAATAAAAACATCAAAATTAATAAATAAATATTATGCTTCTCAATTAGTAGTTTTTCAACAACTTTGTCACTTTTATTTTAGGGGCAATTACAAAAATATCACTTTTTATGTGCACATTTGCAAGAATGCCACTTAGAGGTGTCCATTTACAAAAATGCCACTACTTATAGATTTATAAATCCTATATCTTAAAATTCTAAACCCTAAAAAAGTTTTGACATCTAAAACCCCCTAAACACTCAAACTAAACTCTAATAGAACATAATTAACCTAAACATAAATAATATAAAGAAAAAATAATTTTGAAAAAGTGGCATTTTTGTAAAGATTTTAAAAGTATGGCATTTTTGTAAAGTAACACTTGAAAAGTGGTATTTTTTGAAATTTCTCTTTATTTTACAATTTTTTATGTACAACTAAATATTTTTTTCCCCAAATTTATAAGAGATCAAATTATAGAACCGCATATATGCGGATCCTTAATCTAGTATTATATACGGCATGATGTGAGATGCATGTGTTATATAGTATTCGCTTTCATTAATCAACTATGAAATAAATCTACAAATTTTTTTGAGATGATTAAATATTTGTTGTCAATATTAACAAGACATTTTGGGTATGAAATTTTTGTTTACAGTTGAACTAGCTTCAAATTTAAGTTTTATTCTTTAATAATAGAATTATTGATGTAGTGACAATGATTGGAGGCAATAATGTGTTTAGAAATGTCTAATGTTTGAAAACCTTAACAAACAAACAAAAAAACTATTTTAATTCCATTGAGTTCTTGGTGATAATTTAATTATCCGTATCCAACACATACCCACAATGAACGGGCCTTTCGGTACAACAATTTAAAGTTGCATACTCACTCCCATGGACTTAAAGGCCTTTAAGTATGTGATTTGATTGTTTTTTTTTTTGTTCTTAGCTATTTGATGTGTTTGAAAGGAAAACTATTCTAAGATAAATAAAAAACATTGCCACAAAATCTTTCTTTTTGTAAGTAAGAAGGCAGTAAACTTTGTTTTTTTCAATGAAATTTCCGAAAAAAAGAAATGGTCAAAAATGTCTTTCATTGAGAGTAAAATTTCGTATTCACTTGTACATTTTATTGATACTTTCTTCAAAAATGAGTTGAGTTTCACTTTCACACCTCGCTTTATATAAACAAGATCCCTTTTCTACAATTTACAATTTTTTATTTATTTTCACACTCTCCCCTTATCATCTTCCATCCCCAAAGTTTTTTTCTCTCAAGAGTCATAACCTCTGCATTTCACATTTTGACTCTTACTTGTTTTGTTTCCTCTCTTTTGTTCGATTTAGAGAGTTGTTTTGTGAAAGGTGTTTCTTTGTGTTGTGTTAAACAATGAATAAGAGAAGTGAATGTTATTTGGAAGAAGAAAGATGAGATCTCTGAGTAGTGTAGGACTTGCTTTAAGCCTAGTCTTTGGTTGTTTGTTATTAGCTCTTCTAGCTGAACTCTATTACTTGCTATGGTGTAAGAAGAGAAGACCTGATTTGAGAAATGACTATTCTACCCCTCAAACCAGAAAGCTTCTCTTCATCTTCTGTTG